AGAATATTAATTCAATTAAATAATAGATATTGCCATACATATGCATTGATTATATATATATTCAAAATGTTTATGTCCAAAGTTGATTGGACTTAGGGCATAACACTTACAGTTTGTACTAGAACGACGGTCCAGAAGCAGTACGAGAAGATGAGTTGGGGGAGATGATTGATTAAAAAAGTTGATTATGTTTTAAACTGTGCAATAATAAAGTTTCATGTGACATTATATAGATAATAATATAAACTTTGATGTATATATAGTAATGTCATACCTTCTTATCGAGCATCAACTCAGAAATAACATAAAATATATACACATAAGGGACTGATTTCCACATGCATAAATAGGCCAATATCAAGAACAGATTTTCATAAGCAGAAAATGGTCTTAGTATTCATTTATTAAGAGTCAAATATCAATTAATGTCAGGTTATACATTTGAAGAGAGAGCTCTCATAAGTCTGCCTACAGAAACACTACTTTCACAAGTAAACTTCTGGTTTCTACCGTTCTTGTTCACTCTCCTGGCAAGTTTTCCTGTCAAGCCCAGATAATACTGCTGTCTCTCGGCATCTGATTTGCCATTGGGGTTAAGAAGGCCCAGAGCATGAGGAGTTTTCTCATAAATGATGGCGGCATCCAAGGAGTGTTTCCATAGAGACACAGACGACAAGGGTAGATATTTTGGCAGTAGACGACAGTGATGACTAGTACCGCCATTTCTGATTCAAGTACTCCGTCTTGATCGTACCATTAAAGGCAATTGATACCAGAATTATCTGGAAAGAAAATGGAACAGAAACTTCAATTGAAAGAGGACGCTTACTCGCATATCAGAGAGCTTCGTCAGAAATAGCAGAATCCAGTTACAATAAATAGAATTTAAGCTTCCTTAGAACATCAAAATGCTGGCATATCATAGCCCTTAACAACCTCCATTATTGAAGCACCAATTTGCAACCGCGAGTTTTCATCTTGTCTATGCTTAATGCTGTTTATTTGGTATAATCCACTTCCCTTGTATGCCCCATTCATCCCGAGAACTGACAATCATCCCTTTTACTGCCAAATTAGTATGGCCATTTTTTTTTAACGGTGGACCTTATGCTCGAACTCGGTAAAGAGTGTTTTGTGGCAGAAAAGGAAATGGTGACAAGCTGACAGAATTGGATCTAAGCATTCACGTCTGTACGTTTTGTCTTCAGCAACTACTTTTTCCATCTTACCCTGCTTCTTCAACGAGGTGGCTGTCTTTGTCGCGACAAAAGAGAAGAAATTAATAATTGAAAGAAACTTTAGCTCAAGAATTTATACTTCAAACTTCACTGAAATTCAACACACCAATTTACAGATGTAAAGGGCCAAATATATAGCCACCAAATTATACATACACAGAACTAAATGTATTGCTTTGCAAGTATATATCACAACTAATTGTACAACCTAACGACTCAATAATGGTGAATCCCTAAATGAACGGAGCTGCAGGAAGGAATCGGATCTTCAGAGAGCTGAACGGCATGG